CTTACTTTAAATCGGCCTTTTTGCCGCCGCTCGCCGGTTACCTCGGTGCTTCCACCTCGTTCCTCCCAGGGATGGTGGTTCGGGGCTGCGACGTGGCTTCCTCTGGTCCCAGAAAATGCGAGAAACGGGCAGGAAATGGTCCAGAAAACAGGAAAGTTGATGCGATGCGTCCGGTCCGACGGTCCGTGAGAAGAAGGTCGGAGCGCTCAGTGTCCGGCTGGTTATAGGGTTCCGGGCGATCATTCCAGAATCCTGAACCCGATCGATGATTGGTCTAGGCGCTCCACTGTCGCCGAAATCTCCAAAATCGTCGCGCACCGCGCTGCGTTAATTGGCGCTTGATGGAAGGCGCGTGCGGGGTGGGGTGGTGGTGGCAGGGACGGCGGGGCGCGTGGCGCGCTCGCCTCTCGTGCGCTACGCGTTCCTAGAGGCAGGCCCGTATTTGATGGTGGGTCCGTCGGGGCCCTTGGCGCGTCGCTTTCTCCATAAGCGGCCGCCTGGAATTTCCTTCCGGGGTTCCCCGGTCCACCCGGGCAGACCTCAGCAAGCCCGGGTCTTTCGGCGACACTGGTCGGGCTCCTGGCTCGGAAGTCCGGCGTCCTGGGCGCCGGGCAATTAAGGGCTCGGCCCTTTGTGCCCGCCCCCTGTCGCCGTAACTTGGCCGCGAGCGGGCGTTCCCAGGACGCGGCATCCGTCCGCCGTCGTGCCGATTGGGACCGGGGAAAATCACCAGGCCCCGTCCCCCAGCCCGGCTCCTGTCCGGGTAGTCCTGTGTCTCCTGCGGGCGGCCCACCTTTAGCCGCCAGGGCTAACCAAGGGCCCGCGCCCGCAGGCAGGGCCGCCAGGGTGGCGAAGACGGGGTCGGCCGGTTCCCCTCATAGGGCCCGACGTTCGGTCCTGTCCTCTTCGGGCAGGTACGCCCCTGCGCCGGCGTCGTCTTCCTCCTCGACGCGGCTCTCGTAGCGGCGAGCGACGACAAAGCCGCGACCTCTACGAGGTCGACGCTGTTGTCGTTCCGGTTGCTAACCGAGTTAGCGTAGCTACAATCCTTTCCCGAATATTCGCTGGAGTATTCTTTGAATATTCCAGGCAATATTCGAGATCACAAAATTATGTTTGATTTTTTCCTTTAGAAAACGAGAATTAATTTCCAGAAACCGCGAAAATGCGTATCCCGAGCGGCGCCTCTCGGGGATTCGCAATCGCAAATACAAGAGCTGTAAAAAGGTTTAAAACAAATTATATTATCGCAACGTTTCCCCGCAAATCGGGGACCGTCGGACCGGAAATGCTCCAAAGTCCCGAAGAAGGGCTAAATGGCCCTCAGACAACCATGTGACCGGGTGGCCCAAAATCCACACGTCACAATATATATATATACGCGAGTTAATTAGAGATTTACAGGCCGAAACGAGCCACGCTGTGAGAGGCGCGTATAGTACACGCGCGCTCCATTTATAGCGGATTAATCGGAGTGGGTCTGGCCGCGCGCCGTGAATCACACGCGCGTAGGTCAGTCCCCATTCACTCGCGAAGCGTACAAGGCCGTCCTGCCTCAGGGGGGACGCGCTCGAGGAGAGGGACTAAGCGGACCGCGTGGCCAGAGACCACGTGGTACCGGCGCATTGAGAATTTAAAGGGCCCGAGCCGCCGCGCGCACGCGAGTTGCGGCCGCTCGCCGGCCAAACCAGCGGTAACGACATCTGTTGGCCGAACGCAGAACTATTAAACGCGTAGCGTACCGACGCACCGAGCCGCGAGAGCCGCGTCCGGGAGCTGCTGCCACGCGCGAGTAATCCCTGAACCTCCTAGCTCGAGCACTAAAAGACCTTGAACCGGCGGACAAAAAAGCGTCGAGTGTATTAAAATAGTCATTTTATAGTTTGTAACGCGATTTTTTCTCCATCTGAAAAATCTCGCGCACCTTCGTCGATCCACGCTCTCGCCTCCCTCCCCGTTCTCCGACTATTCAATGGGCGCCAGTTGATTTTTGGGTCCCCGGAACCAACAAACCGGTCTAAGCCGAATCGTAACTCATAATTGCAAACCTATCACCTAAATTTTATCACGAAACGGAGAGAAGGGCGGCGAGAGAGGACTCGGACGGCATGTCCCGGGTCGCTCAGGAGGCAAGTTGTGGAGAGTTAGGGTCGGGGTCGTAACTGACCTAAGGGAGTAGGTGACAAAAGCTACACTTTAGCGAATAATGAAGAAAGTGGTATATTCTCACATAATGCCAGATACTCTAGTACATATTTTTACGCGTTTGAACATCGCGGCCTGAAAAGAGGTCCTTCGGTGATCGTCCTCAGATCTCCCTAGGACGGGCAGGTGTCCGTAACGCCATGAGCCTCGACCGATAGACGTGAGATTGGGATCCCCGGGACTCTGATATCGTAAATGGACGGAACGGTAGCGTACGGAACTCCCTACTCACCCTGGAGTTCCCTGGAACGGACGTGAACGGAACCTTAATGTCTCACTGGAGCCATCGACCGGCACCTCTCCCTCGATCCTCTTCTTCACACATCCACTCGCGGCACTCACTCGGGTCCGACTCTCTTTTCGAAAACCCACGCAACCCGAAAATCCAGACATATTCCCCCCCCCCCCCTCGGCGTACCCGGCGAGTCAAGGGAGGGGAACGTTCGGTACCTTGGCGGTCGCGGGGGTTGTCACCGGGTCCCCGGAAAGTGGTAGGGGAATTCGCGAGGCCGATGAGGAATCCGCCGGCGGGCCTCCCCCTGGGATCGACCTTGGTGGGGGAAGACGACCCTTCTAATCTAATGCCACGGCTTCCTCGGCAGTGGCTGTGGTCTGTCCACCGCGCGAGGCCTGCCACCCGTATCTCTTGGCGCCTCCGGGCCTCACCAGGTCGATCCTATTCAAATCGGGGCGCTGGGATCACCAGATCGCGGGCCCTTGCCGGAGAACTTCCTCGGTCGGAGCGCTCCACCCAGTTGGGAGACTCTCAATTGGTCCATGTACCGCTTTCCGGGTGGGTGTCCTCCCGGTGACCTCGCAGAATTCCCCTCGTGGGACGAGGGGTCCCACTCCCCGGATGTTTTGGGGAGTCTGGGCCCCTGCCTCGACCTCCTCACGTCCCTCCCCTCGCTCGATCCCGCGGGTGCCGAGGGGTCCTGGAGCAGAACGGCACCTATACTAGTCTCCTCACACCATCCTTAGGGTTTCCCGGAGATCCCGTATCGTCTACTGCGGTCGTGGTCCTGGGACGGACGAAAATCCGTCACAACTCTCCTCCCTTACGGAGAGGTTTTGGCCTATATATGTGACAAAACCGAATTTAAAGAAAAGAAGACTGGATAAAACAAAAAATAGTAGGTAATGGCCAACGACAACAGAGCGTCAGGGTCACTTCCCTTCGAGAACAAACTGTATAGAGGGGAAGTCTTTCCACCTCTGTAGGCCTAGAGCGTGGACTATATTTCCCTCGAATGCAGGGCTATAGCGTTACGGGAAAGGAGCTGAAATTCGGGGCATCCAAGCCAGGGCCTGGGCGAGAGCGGGAATGGCGGGAGCAGGAGCACGCTCCGTCTGGAGCAATAAGTACACGGCAGGTCAGAACAGGGCTAGGCCCGCAAAGTTTTCTTTATTGGGTGTCCGGCGGCGCTGTCCGCGCTTGTTTCCGGACACGCCGGAACTCCCACGGTTCAAGATCATCCTCCGAGGTAGGGATGGTGGGCCGGATGGCTGGGCGCGACCTTGGAGCCGGGGTTGGCGCAGCCGTCGAGACAAGGGCCTCCCGGGGCACGTTGGTGCCGAATCCGGGATGGTGTGGGCCTTGCTGCCGCCATTCCGGGCCACATGCTCGGCAGGACTTGACGGTAACCCCTTTCCGTCCGCACTTTTGGCAGAAGGTCTGCCGTGCCTCCGGGCACTGGGTGTACCGGTGCCCCGTCTTCCGGCAGTTCCAGCACAGCCGGGCTGGACGAGGCCTCTTCGCTGGCGGTGCAGGTGGGTGATTGGGCTCCGGGACGGTCACGGTGATGGTCGCCGGTACGGGCCCGAGACCCAGAGGAGGCTCCGCGGCCGGAGTTTGGCCTTCCGCGGGCGTCCACTCCATCGAGTTGGAGCTGGCTTCGGCCTCGCCCGGGGGTGGAGTGAGGTCCCGCTCCTGGGCCTTGTCGTCGGTTTGGGTGCCCCTGGAGGTTCCGGGGCTTTCCTTCTCCGACTGCGTGGCAGCGTCCACGGGCACCGCCTTCACCTGGGTTTGGGTGGCCGCGTCCACAAAGGGGTTCAGTGCTCCTAACCGGGCGTTGAACCGATATACCGGCTGGGTTCGGTTTAGCAGAGGTCGGTCCAACCCACAACTTTCGTGGCCTCGATGCCCTATACGGATGGCCATTTCTCCCAAGGCCTCCATTAATCCAGGCTGATACCCTTCCAGCCAGAGCAGGGCTCCCAAGTAGTGCCGGATCGGATCGAACAAGGGGTCCTCGTCAATCTGCCCCGACATGGTCCGGTAGCGACGGGGTCGGTCGGGGACCCCCTCCGGCGGGTCGACCAGCCGATAGGTTGGCAGCGGCGGCGGATTCGGTATTCCGTTCGTCGGCAACGGGCTTCGGGGAAGAGTTTCCCTGTCTTCCTCCGAGTCGGCAGTCCGATATGTGGCCCCGTCCTCATTGTCGGAATCGAGGTCGATGACTTCGAAGTCGTCGGACCGTCTAGGGGGGTCAGCCTCTTCGGGCTCGAGGCTCCCCTCCTCGTCAACGACCTCGAAGGACTCGCGATCGCTGTCGGGCTCTTCGGGTTGGTCAGTGGACTGGGCCGGCGACAGGAGTTCGTCCTCCCGTTCCGGATCCAGACCCTCGTCGGCGGAGATGTCCTCCCACCCGTCCGAATCGACCATTGTCTAAGGCTGGGGTGGCGTTGGTGCGGGAACAGTCCTAATCCTGGAAGAGAAGTAACTGTAGCAGGTTCAACCCGGTCCGGTTTGGAATGGGGTGACTGGAGCGAAAAGGGAAATCCTGCGGGAAGGTTTAAGAGTAGAAAGGTTTGAGGTCTTCTATGGCAACCTTCCCTAAAGGGTTCCCCTGGAGATCGCTTATTAGGTAGACCACTCGGGATAGCGCCTTGCTAACGACGAATGGTCCATGGAACGGGGTAGCTAGTTTGGCGGCGCGATTTTTCGCGGCCGAAGACAACACGTGTTGTCGCTTGAGCACTAGGTCCCCTTTTCTGTAGCGGTGATCTCGATGTCGCAAGTTATAGTAATGCGACTGGCGCTGGAACGCGGCGTCTAGAGAGTGCACTATCCGACCTTGCCAGACCTTGAGATGTTCCATCCTCTTTAGCCACTCCGGGGAAGGTCTCGGGATGACGGTTACGTCCTTAGTATCCGATTCATTTTCTCCTGGCCGGATGGCGCGAGGGTCGCGGCCCAGGTTCGCAAAGGCGGGGGTGGCATCAATGGAACTGTGGTGGCAGGTGTTGTACGCAAACCGGAAGCTGTGGAGGTGCGCGTCCCAGTTTCGGTGGTCTTCCCCAATGTAGCTTATTATCATGGTCTTGATGACGCGGTTCACCCTTTCCACTGGGTTGGCTTGTGGGTGGTACGGAGGGGTGGTGGACAGTTGCAGTCCTACGCGTGCAGCTAGAGCTTTCAAATCCTTATTGACGAATTCGGTCCCGTTATCCGTTAGAAGGATTCGCGGGCCCCCCCATCGGTTGATAATAAAAGATCCTCTAGAGCTTCGCAAATCTTTTTGCCTTTAGCCTTCCGGAGCGGGTGGACCTCAATCCATTTCGTGAACAGATCTTGAATTATCAGGACATATGCCTGGTCCGTTTTACTAGGTGGGAACGGGCCCATGATGTCGGCGGCTATGATGGTCCAAGGTTCCTCGACCATCCTATGCCCCATTAAACCGGCTGGAGCGTGCTGCGGTACCTTACTCCTCTGGCACACCTCGCAGCGACGTACGTGAATGGTAACGTCCTTGAGCATATTCGGCCAGTAATATTGGAGCGCGAGTCGACGGTAGGTTTTGTCCACTCCCAGGTGCCCTGCTTGCGGGGGGGAGTGACTCCTGTCTAGAACATCTAAGCGGGCTTCCCTAGGGAGTACCCTCTTCCAAGCGTTCAGGTCCTCGATGTCCGCCGAGTACTGGGCTGGCCGGTGAAACTACAGTTGTCCTTCGACAATGCCCCAGCCCGGGAGCTTAGCGGGAGCTCGGGAGACGTCTCGATAGCGGCGCAAGTACCACTTGTCCTCAGTAGTGGAGAGGTCGGTGAGATTATGGCACGGTTCTTCCGGAATTCGGGATAGAGCGTCCGGTACGTGATGATCTGTCGGATGATAATCTTAATTTTATTGCATTTCTGGAAAATCTCTTCGGTCGGCTCCATGCATTCATGGTCGGCGATCATAACTTCGTTCAATCGGCGAGCATCTAAGCATAGGCGGACTGACCCATCGTTTTTGATAACTGTTACCATTGGATTGACGTATGGGCTATTGGATCTTTGTATTATTCCAAGGTCCAACATCCTTTGAATTTCCTGGTCGACCTTCTCGCGATATGCGATAGGTACCGGGTATGGTTTTTGCTTAAATGGTTCGTAATTGCTGAGCTCCAATTTATGTTGGTAAACTTGTATCCTTCCTGGTCTTTTGTCGAAAACACCTCGGAATCTTAATATTAGATTATAGAGTTTTGTTCTTTGTGCTTCCGTTAATCCTTGACATTCTTGTATCTTTTCTTTGATTTCTTCCGGGCTGACCCAATATTTATTGGAGTCTTGCACATAGTCTGTCTTTCTCGGGCTGCTAGGAAATTCCTTATTCTCCTCGGTGCGTGCCATTTCACTCATATTTCCTTCAAATGTTTCTTCCGACTCGGGGATCGCTACAGCTGCTTCCGTAATTGTGGAAAGGCTTTTTTCTTCTTGCTCGTTGACAAAGGTAATCTTTCGCGCTCCGAAGTCTATTAAGCTCTTCCATTTTACTAGGCTGTCGACTCCGATGATACAATTCCTGAGGAGTTTTGGAACTATTAAATATCCTATATGTATCATACGCTCCTTGATCTTTGTTTCCGCATAGATTTGTTTGATAACAAAGACTGGCTTCACTCCTGTAGCTCCCACGATTTGTGTTCTTCTGACGGGCAGAATCGGGCAAGCTTTTAATTTTTCTTTGTTTTCATCATAAAACCGCTCCGAAATACACGTCACCTCGCTACCTGTGTCGATAAGCGCTTCTGTGGAAATTTCTTCTATCTCCACCTGAATGGTTGGACATTTGATGATTTCCTCGTCCGGTACGTCTTCCTCACTTTCGTCTGTGAGTTCGGATCGAACGTTTTCCATCGCTTCATCACTCCGACTCGATGGTACCTCGTCTTTTTGTGTCACTGGTGGTATGCTTTCTGTTGCTGGGATCCGAATATCTTGAATAACTCTGGGTTTCCTTGGATTGACTATTGTTTCCTCGCGTTGCATCGGTAGTTCGGAAACCGATGGATATATGGGAGTTTCGGATGCAACGCCTATTCGTTTCCCAAGTTCTGCTTGGTTTTTGTTTCCTTAATCAAGGATGGTAGTGGTGGTACTGCTGTCAATGATGCTGTTGTTTTGCTTTGTTCTTGCCGTGGGGTTTGATCTCGTGGACTTCTCGAATAATGGTTTCCTTGATATCGCGGGTTTGGTGTGTAACTGTTATTGTTTTGTTGGTAGGGTTCTAATTGTTGAAATGTTCCCTGTTCTCTTCGCGGATATCGAGGCTGAAAATGGCGCGGTTGTTCTTGTTCGAAACTTGATGCTTGAGGTTCGATGCGTTGTGCCACTGATTCATTAGGGGATTGGATTACCGGATTTTCCCTCGGTGGGAATCTCCCCTCTTTAGATCGGTTATAGTTAATCGGTCCTGCCTGATCGAACGCTTCTAATAATTCTAAGAATTCCGAGAGAGTTGATATCCCTCGGGAGATGCAAGCATGCTGAACCATTTCATTGTAATGTCGCGATAGTTGTTTAATGACGTCCTTGTCACTGATATTCTGTGGCAAATCGCGAGCGTTACCGAAGACCTGGATGGCATATTCTGTCCTTGTCATACGTCGGTTTTCGTTAAACCATCCGTATTCCAAGTTACGTCTTATACGGTGTTGTGTATCCTCATTCCAGAATTTCCTTAAGAATATTCTTCTGAAATCCGAGAATGACGATACCTCATCTCCCATGAGATACCACCAATCATGCGCTATGCCTTTAAGGCTTTGACCTATAATTGTTTTGAGTTCATATTCGTTGGCTCCTATTGTATTACAATAGTGCTCTAGGTCTTTAATAAACTTTACCGGTCTTTCCTGATAATTGCCTGTATAAATGGGTATTTCTATTTTTAGAGGGTATGTGCGCGTATTAGAATCCGTGCTTATAATATTGACGCGGTTTAGGATTCGTCGATCGCTCGCTGTTGTTCTTTGTGCGGCTTCTAAATGTTCAATTCTTGTTCTATTCTGTTGACTTTGGTCGCGTGCTTCATCCATGCCGTTGCTGACCGTATCTATTGCACTTAGAAGATGGTCTAGCGTAGCTTGTTCCTCGATAAGTTTAGTGTTTAATTCGTGGAACTGTTTTTCCTGCTCTTCTCTTTCCCTTTGTTTAAGTCTTTCGAGGCGCTTTGTATACATTTCAAAGTAACTCGCGTATTTGTCACTTAATTCGGTTATTTTCGTTCCCAGTGTGCTTATTTGTTTTTCGTTCGTTCCTAGTCTCGAGGTTATGTTATTATTTGAGACCTCTAAGGTCGCGACGCGCGCTAGTAGGTCGCGGAGCCACGCGGATCGGGCAAGGCTTCGCTCGACCTCCTCAATGTCGCGCGTTGTGTCGCGAATGTGTTGCGCTGTGCTCGCTACTAATCCCGAGTCTCTTTGCAAATTATAGGTGTCATCGAAACTCGTTTCTTGACTGCTTATATCCTTATCATTGGCAGATGCCATTTTGCCGCTTTTTATTATAACCTTTTTAAGCCGAGATTCGCGATTTTTTATTCGTCAATTGCCTGCCCCACGTTGGGCGCCAATTGTAATAGTACGGATTAGGCCGTGCAATATGCACCGTCTACTCCACACTGTCGTGAGTCCGAGCCGCGTCAGAATTTTCCGGGAAAATTAAATTACCGGTTTCCGAGGTGCGAAGACCCGACTAAGAGAGAGGCAGGCGTGCGAATTAGAGAAGGATCGCTATGTCTCGTGCCGCGCAGACAATGTTTCGGTTTCTTATAAGTCTAAGCGTCGCTCGCTCAGCTGATCGGGGCCGAAATTCCGAATCGATCTCGTGTTTCGATATCTCGAATGCTCCGGGATTCTTAAACAACTCTGACCGATGAGTATTTAGCTGTTTTTACTTTGTAGTGATGGATTTATTTTGGATTGGAATTGAATTCTCAGATTGACGTTTTATCTCATGAGAGTACGCCAACTGTTCATCATTGAATCCGGATAAAAAGGATTCAATGTGTGGGTACAATTAGGTTGGTTTCCTAGTATTTCGGAATCCTATTAACTCCTTAATTTCCGTTTTAACCAAGTCCTGAATTTGCTTTGAATTAATGCATTCACTCCGTGGAGTATTGCTCTGCAAGTGTTAGTTTTAACTTAATTTAGGTTATCCAGTTTCGGCTATCCACTGGTCTTAGGGTTTTGAGGGTTGAGAGGATATGTTGTGTTGGGCTCTTTGTTTTGCACTTCTTCGTGCTCCGATTCTTCGAATCGACTGTGAAAGTTCGGCAGATCGAAGGCAATCTCAATGATTGAGTCCGAGCAGTCTTTCACAATTGAAGATAGTGTTAGTTCCTGCTTCAGAGCTGTCGCATTAACAAGGCTGAAGGTACGGATCTACACTTTCTTTGTATTCTTTTTCTGCGAATCTGCTTCGATTGACTTCTGTCAATCGAAGGTATGGCTCCTTTTCTTTCACTTTTCTTTTCTTCTCACGATCTAATGTTCGTGTTCTTGGGGACTGCTGTCATAGCACAGTCCCAGGATTAGGTTTGAAAAGGATTTTGAATTTAGGGATGCGACGGCTACCTCAATGGCAGAGATCGCTGGGGTTGGGATTTAATTCCTAAAACTCTCCTATAAACTTTATTTCATCAATAGCTTTCCTCTGGCTGACTCCTGACTTTCTACCTTCTAACTATATGTCCAATTGGGACCTGAATCTTTTCTAGCTTTATTAAATTTCTAATATTTCAATTTATTCTCCTAGCTATCTACGCCTGTCCTCTATGAGAACTCATCCTATTCTGCCGTTTAGAATTCTGCTTGGAGTCTCCTGGAGTCTCGCGGCCTCTCCCTACTCCTAGGCTTCCTCCTACTTTTCGCCCTTTTCGCATCGCCTATTTCTTAGGTTATTGCGCACGCGTCGATCGCCGTCGATTTCGCTCTCGCGCAAGCGCTCCCATTTCGCCCCGTTACACGTATGAATTGTGGTTGTCGAAAATGATACGTCTTTCAGGTAAATCCGAGTGCCGCACCCAGTCTTAGTACCTATCTCGTCGTAATTGCTCTCTCTCCCTCATGTCTCGTTGAAATTCTTCTCTTCCTCGTGTCTCGTTCTCTTCCGTGGTTTGAAGGATGTGCCAAAGTTTGAACACATGAATGATTTAAAAATTAAGATTTACGGTATGGAACGCGAAAAAAATAGTAGCGTGATTGTACCGATTTATGTAAGTCAGCAACGTTCGAATAAAGAGACGATTCATTTACTCATGTTAGAAACGACAATTTTTTCAAACGGTGCTGATGGTAACGTGTATCATTTCGCTTGGATTCGAAATCTATCTCGGTTACTGTGTTCGAAAATTTCAAAACGTAGTCACTACCGCACCAGATTGTGCGATTG